TGTTATTTTCATGAGCGCTTGTTTTCAAGGACGACCCCTCGAACTACTTTAAAATATGCGCTCCGAGTAATAGTTGCTTTGAAAAGTTTCGCGAACATAATATATATTAAGGAACCTCCTTCGTTCTTACTAAAACAAAGATAGACAAACAACCTTTAACAGAACCAATATTCTAATATTAGATGTACCTTCTACTGTAAAAAAGGAAAATTCATTCCAAAAATATTCCTTCCTTAGCAAATATATCGGGAATTCTAATTTCACGCATTTCCTTCGGAGTGGGGGTTTGATCCCACAATAAGAAAGTTGTATAAAGTAGGGGGAAAGATTCTGTAATATTTTTCCGGGTCCTCTGAATAGGATGCAAGGATTTGTCAGCTTGGTCCACCTCAATAGGCGGATTTACGTTTGATATTATAAGAAAAATACTGTTCGTGCGACCAAGGAGTTCCTACAGACAGATTTGCTCTTTGGTTGTAGAACATTCTTTTTAAATCTGATTTAAAAAACGGCGCGAAGTTTTTGTTCTATTTTCGAAGTATATATCAATATTCGTTTGTCGGAGTAGCGGTTCGGGGCCTAGATGATAGTAAATGTTCTCTTTTTGTACGTGCCAGTACATGTGATACAGGGATTAGATTTGTGAGCAGAAAAAGGTCACGGTCTCTTCGCAAGAAAATGTTATATTGTAGGCAAACAAGATTGTTTAAATAGTTTGTTTATGATTTAGAAGTTTGCTGTGGGCCATGATTTATTGTGATAGCGATCAGAAATAAAATATACTTACATTTTTATAGAGGTTGTATTTTATTCGCAGGGTAAACGAAAGTTCAGATGCTTATGTCAGCCTAATATTTTTATTACATGAGTTATTTTTTTATGTTGGATTATTTACAGTTATACAGTAGACGATATGACAAAAATGATATTTTTTTTGTCTAATACAACATAAAGGAGAAATCAAGCAGAAAGATAACTGAAGCTCTTTTATTCAGACAAAGTCGCGGGCGAACAGCAAGTGCGCGACAAATTCCCAGCGATTTTGTTATCGTTCACCAAACTTCTCGATTCGTATTCGCGTACATTTTGTTGGTAGAAAGAACAAAATATTCAGCCAAGCATTTCTGTGGCACAAATCTTGTTGAATTCCTCCGATATTCCTATCTTTTGTGCGAGACGGTGTTTTTATTTCGCTGTAAAATAAATAGTATAATTTTCGCTCACATCTTTATTTCGTTTGTGTGTTGTACATTGTGCTGTAATGTATTTGGAATTTCGTCTTTTGTATTTACTTGTGTTGGTTGTAAAAAGGCAAATAACCTGGCGAGATTGCCGCAGGAATCACAGCGTGTAGGTACATTGTACGCGAGTGATGTGTACTGTGCTGCGACTCGGATCTTTCTTTTGTTCCACGGGAAATGTATTTTCTTTGCCTCGTGGTTTCTATGCTGGATTTTAAATTACGGCTGTATGAACATCATGTTAACTCCTTTACATTTTTCTTTAAAATATTGCACGCATCTTCAGATACATTTAATAATTTAGTACTTGAAGTTTTTTTTTTATTTAATAGGTCGGCAAACGAGCAGATGGATTTACGGATTTCCTGATGGTAAGCAATCAGCGCTGCCCATGGACACTCGCAACGGAGGAGTTACGAGTGCGTTGCCGACCTTTTAGGGATTAGGGATTTGGAGATTAAGGGATTTAATAATTTAGTACTTGAACTGTTTTTAACCAACAATTTTGTTCCGAAATTAATTGGTAAGGATTGAGTTATTTTTTAATTTTAATTGGTAAGAAAAAATTATTAGATGACTTTGACTTTGACGACAGATTGTCAGATTCTTACTGAGTAAAACCACTCTGTTCCAGGCCGAGGCGACTATTATTGTTGACACGCAACCCTGGGCTAAGGACTGGGTAAAGTCGTTATAAAGTGACTGCGTTTGGCTGTCATAGTTTTAAATGAACACGGAGCTCGAGCAACAAAAGAGCATAGAATATTGGAATAAATCATATGTTAGGTGGAAACTGGTAGCTTGAAATCAGCCCTTATTAAGTTAACAGTAAGCATTCAAATCGCATAACCATACTACACAGAGTTAAAACACAGGATGTTCAAGAATCATTTGATTGAGCGTCCACTTACAACTTTGTATCCGACTCGGTTGCAACGTACTAAGTTTGCAATTACAGAAAACTGCACTATTTTATCTTAAGTGCAGTTTTCTTGCAAGTTTACTGGGGGAAACAATTCATTCGCTGCCCACTTAATCTCAGAGTTGAAACTGTCTGCGAATCGCCGACACTGTTTAAGAAGTTTTGATATAAATTCGCGATGCGGCGCCGCATAGGTCCGCGGCGTATCGCAGCGGTGTGACGAAAGAGGTCAGCATTTATGACACTAATGTTATTTGAGAAAACTCTCGATGGATATCTGCTCATATAATTTAATCAGTAACAAACAGTGAAATTCAAAGCTTATCGACTACTGCTGATATTCAAATGTAACTTTTCCCCAACAAAGCAGTGGCCAAAAAGGCTTGCTCGGACAAAAATAGACGTGCTTCAATGTCGCCAGGCGGAGTGAGATTGGCACCGTTCACTGTGTCGACACCCCGCATTGAAATCCTGGAATTTTTCACTTTAGCACTTCTATTCATTTAAAAAAATGTTTTTAGTTTCTACTGCGCATTGAACTGACTCGTTTTTTGGTGTTGAATTCGAAACGGGAATGACAAAAAGTGTATCAGCTGTCATTTTGACACGTGCCACAAAAGGAAGGGGTGGTTAAAAATGGCGTGCGATACCTGTGTATTGTTTCTTTTGTGGTAAAATATATTTTGACTTCCATGCTGTTATAGGAAACTGAATTTTAGAATTTTTTACTTCATTTCTGGTTCATGTTCTCAATTCAAATTGGGTTTTAGGATTTATTTTTTTTATAATAAAATTAGCTCCGCGAGACACGAACTTATGGTTTTTTTATGTGTTACACCGACAAACGAGCAGACGGACTACCTGATGGTAAGCAATCAGCGCCATCCATGGTCATCCGCAACACCAGAGGAGTGGCAAGTGTGTTGGGTTAGGAGTTATGAGGATTTAAGGATTAAAGAGGGATGGGGGGAGGAGAAGGATTGGGCCTTCGGTGACCTCCTACACACGTCGAAACACAAAGCTGTATTTGCTTCACGCCGGATTTTCCTGTGAGGCCGTGGTATCATTTCAGTCGAGCCGACCCATCTGACTCTCTCACGTGCAAAGGCCAAAACCCATATAGAGACTTTTTAAGGAAAATATAACTTTTTGTTAGTCTGTCCGTCATCAGTTTTTTTTATATATATATATACTATTATTATATTAATTTTGTAATATCAAAGAATAACAATTATGTATGTACTCTCATAAAATGTGATCTAATTTTTATATTATAGTGTCGGGCTAGTGCTGAAAATCAGCGCCGCGACGCGAGTTATACTCTCGGGTCACGGCTTTTTAGCTAAGCACTTGGCCTTTTTGCGCCGTGCATATTTTCGTTATAAGTTGTACCTAATGTGTCTTTCTTTTTTAATTTTTGCGGTGTAAATAAATAATTTTTCTTTCTTTCTTTCTTTCTTTCAGTTAAGAAGATTCCTATGGACAGAAGCAAAAGACATGTCGGCTTATCTCTTTAGACATTAGCGGGTGTAAAGTGACGGTAGGTTTTGTTCATTTAAATTATTTTCCTCTCTTTGTTCCTAACTCACTAACTATATTAGGTATGTTTGCGTATCCATATTGTTTTTCATTTTCATTTGAATTGAACTGAACTGAAATTGGAATCAAGGCAAATATTTGCCGTCAAAAATAACCTGTGTTCCCATGAAAACGTAGATACGTAACAATTTTCATTGAAATTCAACTATTTCCACTGAAACTTTGATATTGCTTTGGTTTCAGTGAATACTATAGCCGTTTCAAACATTCCAGTTAATATTCCTTTCCCGAGTACTGGTGTAGGGTTTATATGTATTTTTAGTTGATAGAGTTATTTGTGTAATTAAATTTATATTTTGTATGTATACGGCCTTTCTTTATAATTGTGATTTTCTTTCTAAGTAAGTATGGAAGACCCAATGTTTGGGACGAATGGGTTTGCCCGATCAGAGTGATACCACGGCCTTACACAAAACTGGCGTGAAACAACAAAAGCATTGTGTTTTGCCGTTTTGGCAAGGTTACTGAAGGATTGAGGGAGGGAAAGAATTGGGCCAATTCTATCCCTGCCCTAATCCTTCACCAATATCCAAATCTCCAAATTCCTAATCTCCCAAAAGATTGGAAGAGCACTAGTAACTCTTCAGTTGTTGCGGGTGTCCATGGGCGGCGCTAATTGTCTACCATCAGGTAATACGTCCGCTCGTTTGCCATCATATCACAAAAAAGTATCAATGACGTCTCTATATAATAAATTTAAGTATTATTAAGATTTAACAGAAATTAAAACTATTGCATTGATCGATTCGTTGGAACATTTTTTGTGCGTAAAGAGCTTTCTTAATTGATTAATTACTTGGTCTAATAGATTATGATACAAAATATGTTTTACTAGCTACTCTCGCTCAGCTCCATTTGATCGTAGCGTGATGTTTTATAGCCTACTAGCTTTTTCTCGCGACTTTGCATCGCATGGAATAGCACCTTTCTGCAGATTTTTGGTATAAAAACTATCCTATGTCCTACTTTCTCGAGTTCCAAATTATGTCTGTACCAAATTTGTCACAAATAGGCTCAGTATTTTAAGCGTGAGGAAAAGACAGACAGAGTTACTTTCGCATTTATAATATTAGTTTGGATAGCATTCAGGTACATTGTAGCTATCTATCTGATCATTGTGGCAATCCGAGCAGCGGTTCGAAAGATTACCCCATACATACAAACTTACTAATTTTACCTCTTTATAATATAAGTATAGATAAGAAAGAACATAATTATTATCTTAATAAAATACTTACAGTTCTGATGTCGCTCTCGGCACCATTTGCTAAATACTGTGTTTGTTTCAGATTGGGCGCTAGCAGTTGCCTGTGGACAAAGAAAAAAACAACATTATTAAATAATACATTAAAATACATATTTTAAAATGTACAAATCTTAAAACCATTTCACTTCGTAAGAATCTTCCTATGAAGAATCATTATTAAAAGTATTACAGTGACAGCTTTGTGTTCCGTCGTTTGAGTGTGGTTATTGGCCACCCAATTATCCCCTTCATCACCTAACCTCTACCTCCTCATCCTTAAATCCCTAACCCCCAAAAAGGCCAGAAATGCACTTGTAGCTCCTTTGGTATTGCAGTGTTCATGGTGCCCATTGCGTACTATTGGGTTTTCGGTTGGTTAGTTTATGGCCTAGGTGTATACACATCAAAAATAATTGTTATTTATACCTGTACGGTAAGCACTAATTTCGCAGTTAATTTTTGGGAACACAATGACATTGCATTCACATTTTATTGTTCTAAATCAATTATAGTAAAAGTTGGTGAATTAATTGACCTGACTTCAGAAGAATACGGCTTCAGTTTCAAAACCAACCTAATTATAAAATTGAACCCTCTATTCGAACCAGAAGCTACCTAAACAACACAATACTTTAAAACCATTCACCTTCCTACGTTAACGATATCACAAAAGCAACAAAAACCAAGAACCGAACAACATAATACTAGCTCCACACAGTCGGTTAGCTGATTACTTTAATTTGTAGGGCAGCACTTTTTGTTATAATTTGTTGGTCGACGCAAAAGTTTTTGGTTTTTGGCGCCAGTTTACGACGGTCCCTAACCGTTGGGTGGCCTGTTTCGATTTTGGTTAAGTATGGATCTTTATGTACGGTACAGGGTTTTGGTAGACCAAGTGATTATGGCCCTTGCCTGTACACTGTAAAATAACGAGCTAATTTATAGCCCATTAGAGGATTTGCATATGGCACCATGTTAATGGCCTTTGTCCTAAGGTTTATAATATTGTTTATATCGCTCGTGCATGTTTTAATAAAGTGCAGTCTTTTTGTTTTTGAGGTGGATGAAATAAGTATTAGGCATGACTTCGATAAAATCTTTTTGATATGAATTTTTTCGATAAAATTTGGTTTTATCCGTGTTATAAAATGTTATGTAAGATATCTTATTAAATCCTTGAAAATGCCTCGAACGATACTGTTTAAGATAAGCCTGATTTAAAGTAGGCATAGTTGTAGATGGGAATTATAAAAGCAATACAAGAAAGGTTTGTTAACACGTTTCTTGTGGGAATATAAAGCATTATACAAAGATCTATTATGCTGGTACAAATTCCAAAACCTATTCAACATCACACAAAATTAATCAAACATTTACAACGAAATCCAAAGTCAATTTTACAAACAAATTGAAAACCGTTGACCGAAATTTTAGCCGAATGGATTCACTTAATCGAACATTACAAATTGTAGCCCTAAAACTAAACTAAGCTATAGCTTGTCAAATACTATTTCAAAGCGGTATTAATGAAGTCCGAAGCGTTTGAGTTTAAATGTGATTATTGTGCGCCTTTGTTTTCCCTCCGTTCTGCGATCAGCTGTGATTGAGCGGCCATGTTGGATTTAGACGTTTTGTGTAGATGGCGCTGTTTTGCTACTGTATTTGTGACGTTGTGTATTTTAGATTGTCAATAGCCAAACGTGACGCGATGGGGTTCAGTGATCTCTTTACTGATAGATTATTGTGCGAAAATCTGCTATGAATGCCGGATTAGTCTGGTTATAATTGAAGGATTATTGTGGACGTTATAATACGAAGTTTATATGAACCTCTAAGTTGGTTTTTGTTACTGCCTTTCCATTTTTGTTGTGTTGAGGCGAAATAGATGAGAAACAACTGTATTTCTATCCTTGTTAAGTACAATTAGTTTTTGAATATAAAAGTAATGGTTATATTTGAATAAATTTAAAACAAAATTGTAACCGGTAACGTTTTTATAAGCTACTTAAATGTAATAATACATTTTAAGTATAAAATTGATTTAATAAACTCCTTTTTCGATCTCATTAAGTGCGATGTTCGGGGCAATGTGTAAATTCTTATTGAACGATCTGACAGTGACGTAATGATGTAAATTAACGAAAATTGTGTCGGTAATTAACAGGACGGGGTTAATTAAAGGTATTTATAAAGTGGAGTGGGTGTGAATGTGTTCTGAATTGTTATGAAGTGTTTGTGTAGGGGTTTATAGATATATTTTGCCAGTTATATTGTTAAATCTAGTAGTTGTTTAGGTATGATTTGTTGGCCGAATGATTGTATGTGCAACGATTTAGGAAAAAACCTTGAATTGAAATTCACAGTCAAGTACCTAAAGTAATTTAATGTTTATAGACAATCTCAATTTTCTGGGAAATCTCGATTTGTAACCGAACAAGTATGAAAAGAGATAAACAAAACGCATAAAATGTTTATTGGTATTTGCAAAAATAGATCTCTATGGACATTGATATAAATAGTAATGTAGATGTTTAGGGTTGCGAGTGCTAGTGCAATTTTTATCGCAGCCCCGGCCTAGAGCAGGAGAAGGAACTGGGTGGTTTTTAGTCAGTAAGAGTCTCACACACTTCCAATCACTTTCATTCTCACACTCATTGCGGGAGAAGTCATTTGATGATGCTTTCGTTCTGATAATCGAAAAAAAGTGAAATCAATTGATCACTTGACTCAACATAATATCTAGACATTTCCAATATAATGATGGAGTTCCTTGCTCGTTCTTCTCCATTCGAAACTACAATTTGGAACGATTACCTAGCTTCACTGACGAACAGACTCACAGACAACTATTCTATATTGACGTTTCAAAAGTACCTATTTATGGTTTAGTTGGAATAAATTATTTTGATTTCATACTAATCATTAAATGTTAGTGAATTATCTCGAAATTAATAATTTACGCAAGTCATTGCAACACCAAGTACCAAGACAAACAAGGCCAACACGTAACTCCCAAAATTCCCACAACACAAGTTAACCGAACGGAGCTCAAGACGAAATCGTTTGTCTTAAAGAAAACATAATTGAAAATCGTAATTTCCGCTTAAAAGCAGGCGCCTTTAATAATAAAATCTCAACACGCGACAAAGCTATACAAACAGAATCTTATGAAGAACAAACTCATTGTATGATTTAATTTAACCTTTAAAAACATACATAAAAACTTTATACATGTAAACAGGTTTCAGTGGAAACTTCATATTTATGAAACCTGCTTACCTAAGTAGAACACGGCGTCGTGAGATATTAAAAATATAGGTTTTTCACATTAAAATATTTATGAGAGTCACGTGTTAGCGAATTTTTCATATTTCTTGTCTCTACTTTTTTTTAATAAGCTAAAATGATGTGGCGTTTTGAGTTCGGTTACAGACTAATTCCTTTATGTTGTAATGTTAGTTTTTATTTTCACTGTCTGCTAATGCAATTGGTTTTCGTGAATTTGAAATTATTTTTTTATTTTTATATAAAAAAATATCTTCACTTTCAATCTACCTATATAAGTATTTATGCATGTTTAAGACAACACAATTTAAAGAAGACAACCCGTTGCCTTGTGCCAAATAAATGTTTTTTTTAATCGAGCTCAATTTTTTGTATACAAGCTTAGTGTGCAGGACTGGTACCTAGCTATCCTGTCCGATTTTAATCTTCATGTCAAGTTTCTAAATTTCCAACACCGACTAGCACAGCTGTTAAAAGCTTATAATTAAAAAAAAAATGTAAGTTAAAATTTTCTGTTAGATGTAATCCCTAATATATTTTAATTCAAAACTTAGCTACTAACAATACACTAACGTATTCTGCAAAACAAACTAAGCCATTTGGTCGGAACTGGGATGATTGTCAATAGATCGCGCGCCGTGAGCTGTGTGTCGCGGCCGTTGTACGTGTCCCCTAACCAACATCGACACTACATCATCAAAAGCGCCATTTCTACTGACTACAGAAATACATGCGTGATAAGGATATAAATCATAAAGAGTCAGAATTCAAGTTACTATAAGGGAACAGACATGATTTGCGCATTATACTAAGAAGTGTTATTATTTTTTTAGTGACAACGTGGAATTACTCGATACTACTGGCTACATACACGAAAAATATTATTTCATTGTCCATTTACGCTCATTGTGGCGTTCGGCAAGTGAGAGCGCGATAAGAAAGAGAGAGAGATATGATCGACTTGAGCGATCGGCTCATTTCGGTTGGTACTACTGTAATGTTTGTTGTCATCTCAAACTACCGTCTGTAAACTAAGTTTACAGCCAAGCAGTTTATTTTCTATTGCTTGCCCAAATATAGCGACTGGCTTAAAACACTTCAATAATTATTATAATACGCTTCATCTCATATGTTCAAACAAGGAAACACGAGCTAAATAAGACGCTTATTTTTTCTGCCTTTCGAAAAATCTTTTTATACTCTAACACACTATTCCAGGTTGCTGACGTCACATCAATGTCATATTGCACCACAGTGTAACCACATGTAAGGCACGGCGCATGCAACCGTACGAGCCGTGCGATGTGCACTGAACCGTCGTGCGTTAGTCTGTTGCGAGGTGCTGTGTACTTGCAAACGAGCTGTGTGCCTGTGAAATACTCTCGGAATTGCGAATACAGCTAGTTTCATGTTTTATGTACGTTTATCTGAAAAGGATAGTACTGAGAAGCCATCACCGTATTACTCAGGAAAAACCATGAACTGAATGCCTAACACAAAATGTTAAGCTTGAAGAGTCCATTTAATGCGGCAGTCTAAAATTGGATTTGAAAACAATCAATGTGTTTTTTATAGGATTAGGTCGGCAAACGGGCAGACGGATTACCTGATGGTAAGCAATCGGCGCCATACACCCTATTTGTGGATAAGAATTGGGATGGGATGGGGAGACGAGAAGGATTGGGCCTCCGGTACCCTCACTGAAACGGTGAAACACAACGCTGTGGTTGTTTCACGCCAGTTTTCTGTAAGGCCGTGGTATCACGCCAGTCGAGCC